CTACCTAGGTACCTAGGTAAGCTCAAGGTTCCTTGTCATGATAAATATTGCTGAGAGCTGAGTTCCATCTAGCTGATGAGTCGAATAGGTTAATTTTAAATCAGACCCAGCTATTTCCGTCAGAGGACGATTCTTTGTTAAGGTACCTGGTATTCTATGATAGAACTCAGAAAATATGGTTTACGCAGGGTTTCGAAGAGTCGCGGGAAAAGCTCGTTACATGAAGACGACTTGATAGGGGTTTTAAGGACGAAGTTTCTTATTTCTGTTAATATTCATACGATGCTCCCACATTCTGCAGTGAAAGGCTTTATTGCTTACTTACCAGACAGGTGGTACCACGATATTATGGCATCATAAAGAGAACTATAGTTTCAGCACTCACTTCACATGAAAAACAGAGCGTAAGCTACTATATAAGTATGCCATCGTAGCACCCAGGATGCGTGTCCCAACCTGCCACCGGGGACGTTGTCTGTCACTTCTCACGAGGGCCAATAACTGACTCAAACCAGCTTCTGCCTGTATTACATGATAAAACTCAGATGGCATATTGGTACCTAAGTTTGGGTACGTTTGAAGTGAGGAGTCAAGTTACGAATACTCAACTATTCATGGTCGCGCATAATTTGTATAAATTTGGAACACAACGTGGATATGAAGTATTATGTCGAATTATCATATCGCGGATGAAGTCATGTGCGAAAGCCAATATATAGAGAAAGAGTTACTCTTCAAAGCTGACTGCGCCTTTTTGCGGTGCAATGGATAAAGAAATGAAAGTTACCCGTTTTAGGTATACTTCAACGGTCATGTGTCATGGCGGCTTCCACCGGCCATCCATGACAAGGATCTAATCTTATCAATCTACAGCTTGGCGAGGGTAGCGTAGCATCATCATGGGATCAGTCCCCTCCCGCTTAGCGCGGACAACTTCCGCCTCCATTCACTAGCGAAGGTCTTACGCGCCATCAGACCAGAAGCTTGCAGCCATCATATCTACCACCGCCTTGCTCCTCTTTTGACCCTGCCCTGCGCCCTTTGTTCTTACCCCAATACTTCCATCGCTAGAGGTCCATCCCTACTCTGTCGCCAGCTCTACAAACGCGTACGACCCAGACATATCAGCCCATTATGAAGCTCTCCCACGCTTTCGCTGGCTTCGCTGCTACGGCGCATGCCTTGGGCCCTGAGTCCAACATCTTTGGCAACACTGATGATGCCAACATCCAAGCTCCTCACAAGATTCCAACGGTCCACGAATCTGTTGTCATGGCGCGCCGTATCCTTGCTCTTACCAAGCTTGCCACCCTCTCGACCGTCTTCCCTTCCGGCCATCCCAATAGCGACCTTGCCATCGATGAGAACCGTCCGACAGGACTCGAGGGTGTGCCTATCGGCATGATGGATTATGTGGCCGATTGCGAAGATGAAGGCAACCCTACCATTCTCGAAATCAAGATCGCAACAACGTTTAAGAACGTTCGAGCTGGGTCAAACCTTACCCTCTCCATGAACTGGGTCCCGCCGTATCCGCCCGCCAAGCGCATCTCCCTCCTTTCTCGACTCTCGGCATATGTTCCCTTCCTTCCCAGCTACGACTACAACAGCCGTGCCCAAGGGCCGTCCGATACGCCAGACACCGTTCCTTACTCGGCGGCCAACCTACCCCGGTTCGCCCTTTTTGGTTACCTTGAGCCCATTGAGACTACACCCGTATCAGCCGTCAAGCTTGCCGCGTGCTTCACACGCAAGCACCAGGATGCCAAGTACTGGCTACCTGGTAACTTCATCCACGAAAGTTCATGGTCGCGCCTGGTTGTGACCAAAATCTACTGGGTCGGCGGCTTTGGTGACCGAGCGCGTATCGGCTGGCTTCCTGTTGACGAATGGAAGAGCGTCACCAGAGATGAATGGGAGAGCATCAAACTCCTGGGTGAGGAGAAGGGCTGGAATGAGTGGTCAGTCAGCTCTGTAGCAGAGCTGTAGGAGTGACCTAACTTGATTATTTCGGAAACAATCTTTACTTTTTATTGTCTGATGGATCAATCTCGGGAGGGAGCATTCCTTTTTATGGACGCACATGGCCTGTAAATGACCTTTGATTATTTGCGTGGGAGGAGTTGCTTTTACATAGTCAGGGACGGCAATCTTTTGGCAGGGTATCATGTGTCACACAAGCCCTCATTTACATTTTACTGCTTGTCCTTTATCGTCGGCAACTTGCATTTTGAAGGAGCTTCTGTGCTTCTTGGAGAAAACAATGCAGGTAGCCGAACCCACCAGTCTTGAATATATCACATCTGTACCGCTGTTTCACTTGGCTTGATCTACTGTGCTACAGAGGTGCTGGTGATATCCGAATGTTGTTTGTCTCACACGGAACCCACATTTGGTAATCCGGATCGCTACTGTACGAGTGCAATGCATGCTTGGCAACGTATAGCATGATCACCAGAACTAGAACTGTAGGTTGCTGGTTGCTTTGGCTCATGTTTAAATGCTTAATCTCTCAGCTTGTAACAACCTGTGGCCTATTGCAAGTGACGAAATAGATTGGAACGCGCGCTGGTACAGTCAATAGATGGCAGGAGAGTTGCTTGTGATGTCGTGCTGCCTAATGGCTGCCGTGTTAGAGACCCGACTGCATATTGTGGTGGGTTACACGCCGCAACTGGGGTGACTAGGGCGGCTTGATCCGGCGGACGACGGGCGATCCGATATCTTCTTATATTAGGCACGCTACTGTACGTGTGGGTTTTAATAAATCCATGTGTTTCAGTTTTCTATCGATAGTGCGGTATATTTTACGCCTCGGATACGTTATATCAGCCACTGGTTCGATGGACGCGAGCCGTTTAGAAAGCACATCTTGGGTCGATATTCGCGAATCCAACCTGTCCGTATCTAGTACAGTACCCAATAAGGGTTGTCTCCATTGCCAAATTTAACTGGGTTAGAGATTTCCACCTGCTTGATGCAGAAGCACAAGACATCTACAAACAACCGAATAGACATTGAACGGCTCGGTGTAACGAGGGACAGTACTGCACTGTACAGTACCTAAGTTCCCACCTACCTAAGGTAGTATTCTAATGCAGCTAGATAGGGAGCTACAACAGACATGCATGTGAAGAAGCGTTGTTTCGGAACTCGATTACCGTAGGACAAACCCTGCCCCCCTGAAAAAGGAAGGTTTGTTGTGGTCGTTGGGTCTTGACATTGCTTTTGGTGCCTCGTTTAATCCTCGAGGCTCCTCCTCTGGGCTCTCGGTAGAGGAACTCGGCCCGGGGTAAGATCCCGACGGAAAGACAGGGGCTCGCTCCGTAGGTGGTCGGTTCAGGTCCAGGGATAATAAGCCTCTAGCTTCGAGTGCATTACAGCTGCACTGCACCGTACCGAGACAGTAACGTTTAGGTCTGGCCTATCGGTTTGAGAGTGTGAAAATAGCCGTACTGTAGGAGATGCATCAAGCGGCGATGAACCGTAGACTAGATGACGCAAAAGGTTCAGCCAGGTATAGGGTGATAAGACAAGTCATACATACCCGTATCTGCCGCTATCTGCTCCGCATGAGTTGATATTGCACAACACACCGCAATGCGGGACAAACGCAAGGCTCATCAGGCGAAGCAACTGCCAAGCCAACCAGTCGCGACTATCAATTATCGACCAACAGCACGAGACCGGACCAGATCCAATGATTCAGATCAGGGTTAGAGGGTTGTCAGAGAGTGACCTAATGATTCTAATCCACTCTAGCCTCTCGCAGATATCTAGTGTTTTCGCCCAAGGGCTTGGCTATTGATGATAGGCGGGATATCGAGAGTACAGTATGTATGGCATGGATGTCTTATGCATCGATGTTCTTGACGCTGCGCTATCACCGGGGCTTGCGAGGTGGCTTACACTTACGGAGTACTGACTCCCTATTAGCAAGCAAGCATCCCTCTTTTCGTCTGTGCGGCGTTTGTCCCTGGGGAATTCAGCAATGTCCATCCATATTGGTGGGAGAGGGAACAAGGGTTCAGGAGAACGGGTTGAGCTTTTTTCCAATGGGCGGGAACACGGACCATACCACAATATGTATGTACATACAATAACCCCGGTAGGTTAGAGGTAGGTATTAGGTATGGTTTGTCAGACTACAGTACCCAGGGGACTATCGGCCGATTCTTACCCAACGGGCTTATGTTGGCGGATGAGTAGTTGCATTGATGACGGGCAATGATGTGCCTGCATCTGGCGGATGGGGTAGAGCTGAAGGTTGATATTCTGGAGATATTGTAGTAGAGAAATGGCCACAGATTACAATACCAACGAGCGCTTCTTGTAGGCCAGGGCTGGATGCCGTCATGAGGATCACTTTGAGAAATGATGGCTGGTAAGCTTTGTTTACTGGTTGGTTGGGTCCAGGTTGCAGCTGACATTGGATCCTGTTCTATGTACACAATAACAGATATTGTGCAGCACCACACTCTTAATAAGGTGGTACGGTTTTGAAAAGCTTCTTTCAAGTACCTAGTCAAGAGATGGGTGCCATAACTACTTCTCTGGACTGTACAACGCTGCACCAACTCTATAGGCGCTGCACAACACCAATAGATAACGCACATTCCACGAGGCAAATGCTTCCTCGCGATCTTAGCTGCGCGATTGAGTGTGCCCTCAAGCGGGGTCAATGGCTTTTGGCCGGGGGGTCTGCAATGTTATTTGATCGCCAAGGTTAGCCAGCCGCCACCCCTGAATAACACAAACGACGTTATGCACACTGATGATTGATGTGAATGCCCGTTTATCTTTAATAGGTATTTCTTTCAGATCAATCACCGGCTTATCCCTTCGCAAAAGAAAGGCACATCGCTTCTGTGTAATACAACATCCATGTAATTACCCCCAAGCACGGATACCTGTACCTGTACTGTTACCCTGGAGTCATTGTTATCAAGATCACCAAAACTCGGGGAATCCCTAGGTTGCTAAGGTGGTTCTAACATTGACACGGAGTACATGACTGACTGACAAATAGGTAAGGTATGGCCCAGGTCTCAGCACTTCTTCCCCAAAGTCCCTTACCTAGTAGTTGGACCTGTGAATGTAAAAGAATTGTGATTGTTTCCCCAATCCCAGCCTCCCCGTCGCGTTACTAAGGTTAGTAGGTACTTACTATCCACAACTTCAGCCGTGGCCACCACCCTGTAAGGCATCATTCCCGTCGGGTCCTTGGCTCCGCACAGTCTTGAAAATAGAATAAGAAAAGAAAAACCACCCTCAAAATGCTCGAGTAGAAAGGCCATGTCAGGTCAGGTCAGTTCAGTTCAAGGTTCCATCATGGACTCAAGGGACCGAACAAGCGACAGGCTGAGAGCCCAGACGAGGGGGCGGATCCATGCAAGTTCCCGACTTCTAGTACAGTAAAGTCCTCGGTACTTAGTGGATATAGTTTATGGAGGATCCTCTGACGCAAAAGCCCTGCTATCGGTGCATGCTGGCAATCGGCTCCGTGTGTAGCGTCTACCTCTATCTCCACCTTCCTCATGTCCCCATATTTCCTTTTGAGGGCCTGAGGGCCTTCTTAAGTTTAGTACCTTGCCTTGCCAACCTTGCCTTGCCTCACCTCAAAACGCTCTAAACTCAACCTACCTACATTACCTATTACCTCGCCCCGTCCGACCCCATCCATCTCATAATTCATCGACGTTCCCGCTCTCGGTCGGGGTTCCGTGCCGCTCGTGTACATACTTACGCTATCTTGACACTTATTGTTCTTCCTTTCTTTCTTTGCATCTTTTCTCTCGCATAGCAACAAGAGACATTCGCGTGCGTGGATAATTCAACAGCAACGGGCGATTCGAATCGACTACAGTGGTGATAGTTTGGAAACGACAAGACGCACGGGCGATAACGACGATCCAAGTCGAGTACCCGACTCACGTTGATCTCTAGTCCACACACGTTTCGTCGTTCGAATTCGGATTGCGCGGCAGGTCCATCAAACATTTACGGGTCATCGACGACAACGCGATAGAGGAACGCAAACTTGAGGCGACACTTCGATATCGAGTATCGGGTCATTCGAGGCGCTAAGGAACATCGCAGGGCATTGCGGTCTGATCTTCGGCGATCGCGTTGACTGCGATCGTTCACCACCAACTCCAACATAATTCAACATATCCCTTACTTAGATCTTTCGGAATGGCGCCTCCGCCACCGAACCGAACATGACCTCGCGGACCCCCATGAGCGCCCATCCGCGGCCGCCTCAACGTTCCGTGAGCTCATCGTCGTTGCCCATCCAGCGCCCGCCTCCGCAGCGAACATTATCCCATCAACAACAGTTTATGCCCGCCTCACCAGTTCGAAAAGATTCATCGTTCATCGATCTTACCGCCGACGCTGGCGATGCTACTCCTAACCGTTACAACACAACACCGAGAAGGGGCGGCTCACGTCTCCGGCTTGAATTGTCCCATAATGCTTCAGCCAGCTCATTTCCTGCATCTGAATCGCCGCAATCTCTAACTCCCTCACGAATACCCACCAATTCCGATCCTTTCCAGTCGATGGTTGGAAGCCCAGCTCCCATTAATAGCGCCAGTTCGACTTCGATGCCAATGCCAACGCGCCGACCAGTAACCTCGCAACTAAAATCCGCTCCTCCTACCACAACGACGACTGCGCCTACGCCAGTCAAGAAAGACGCCCGACTAAAGCCATACACGGTCGAAATTCCCTCCGCCGCACCAAGATACTTCGCGGCAAACCGACCCGAAACTACTTCTCGGAACCCTGTTGATCCCTTTAGCAAAGGCCTTAACTCTGGATACGCCGACTTCTTCCCTTGGAATGGGGCGCACTATGAAGACGAATGGAGCAGCGAAGCCATCACAAAGGGCACATGGGACAAGGTGAACTTGAATGTTCCCGAGACTTCGTCTGCCAAGCTTGCCATCTTCCCAGCCTTAAAACAAAAGACTGGCCTGAATGCTCTTTCTACGATATTTATGGGTGTTCTGACTCAGCGTAGACATCGAGGCCAGATCAATGCCCCGTCAACTTTTAAGCCACCACCGCGAGTCACGCTTACCGACACAAAACGAGAAGTTTGGCTCAAGGACCTTGCCAACCCCGCTATATCTCTGCGACGTCTTAGCCGAACAATTCCCCATGGTATTCGTGGCAGAACTCTGCTCGACCAGTGTTTGAACAAGAACGTTCCCGCCGAGCGAGCTGTATGGCTCGCAAAGTGTGTTGGTGCCAATGAGATCAGAGGGCTGAAGAGAAAAGGTGTCAACGGGGCTTTTGTCATGGGTGGCGAGTTGAAGTGGGCTCGCGACTGGACTGTTTTTGTCGAGCAGTTCGTTGATGCCGTTGTTGCTGGATTTGGCGAGAAGGACTGGAAAACCAGAGTTACGTATGCGTAAGTTGGGACCGTTCGAACGCCTTGTGAAGTTATGATTATGGTTACTGACGCTCTGCAGCATTCGTTTAGCCACAAACCTTTACGCTGAACAGTTACTGGATCGAGACCATTATCTTGATTGGGTCGTTTCTGGTATCGAGAATAGTCTCCAATCAAGAATCCCAATGTGGTTGCTCATAGCTCAGATATATTGGAAAGATCTTCTTAAGTTTCGCAAGTATGGCAGGAGGCTTGTTTTTGCCTTACTTAGCCACTTGCACGTAGTATGTTCACGCTCAACTGTTCAAGATAGCATATCGACTAACTGAAATTAGACATACAACGACCCTGATCAGGATCTGCTTGTGCAACTCTCTAGTAGACTGTCGACTTTACTCGGCTCCTTAGTTCTGTCTAATCCGGAGAGTTTTATCAATCCTGGCGCTTGGCCACGATACAAAGATACGCTTCAGGCTTCCTTGCGTACCGACCATGAGCCAACACAGAAAGCCATACATACAATCAACTACCGGAACTCCCGACTGGTCGTATCCAGCACCGCTTCCCCACCTGCTGGTAGAAGTCAGCTTGTCAAGTTGCTTGATGCTGCTCTCAAGGAATCCAGTGATGGTCACCTAGCGCCAGCATGTTGGGCGACGAGTGAAAACAAGCCTCTGATCATGAAGACAGTCGTTGAATGGGCCACTTCTTTCCACCGTCCTGGCTTGGCAAAAGTCTATGCTGCTTCCCAATTAATTCGTCAATGGAGCCAGTTTCGTGTGGATCCCACAACACCGATACTCGAGACCCTCGACAGCATTGCCATCGAAGATAAGGCACGGAAGAATCTTGTTTATCATTTAGTCACTGAATTGGTCCGAACCGGTCATTTCTCTGTCTCTCAGTACATGCAATGGACTATTGCACGTGGAGGCTACCACAGCGGAGTGGAGATTGACGCCGAATCAGGCCCATGTTCCAGCAGATTGCTGGTTGAGTTACCACTTCATGCTTTGTCCGAAAAGAAGAGGGCGGAGAGAGGAAATCTGCTTCGACGAGCCGGGAACTACTCGATTGTCGAGGAAGAGCAAGATATCGCCAACGCGATCAAGTATGTCAGGCACACCGTGGGACTTCCTTTACCGCCAGGTGATCCATTATCAGAGCGAAAACCTATTTCCCTCAAAAAGCTTCTTCCAAGAATAGGTAGCAGCAGCAGCGCCCTAAGGAGCAGTATTGGTGCACATCTACGTGATGTGCTAACCGGGCAGCTGAACTATAAGAGCCAGCCCTCTCTGCCTTTAACTATGTACAACTCGGTTCGCGCTATTATGGAAACAGCTGAAGATTACTCCATGTTGTCAGATATCCTTGGTGCTTGCGCAAAGACCGCCGATTACGATGTGTTAGCATCTGTTGCCGACACTGTTCACTCAAATTTGCAAATCTTCTCGGCTTTGGGCAGTGCGAACGATCTGTTCAGTATTCTGATCGAACGCCTCAAGTCGATGAATGACGAGCAAGGAATTGTGCCGCGACCATTTTTGGCCGCCCTTTCAAGTCTCGCCCAGCGAATGACCGGCCACGAAGTCATTGCTTCACATCTACGACAGGAGTTGCTTCAAAGCGACCGCAGTAATGCGATCGATGCTTGTTCCCCAGTATCTGATATTGTGGCAGCCCCTGCTCAGCATGCTGAGAATGAGTTGGCGGAGGACATCGAGAAACAGCTATCGAGTGGAACGCGGCTAGATCCTCCAACCATGAACAAATTGTTCAGGAGAATCATTCCTGCCCTTGAGCGAGGCTGGGAGAAAACTGACGATACAAGACGAGTATTCGCGACACTGCTTACCAGGATACGGGTTTTCGATGCACACCATTTCGATAAACTCATGACAGACTGGACAAGCCACGTCCGTTCTCTGCCAAATCGCTCTCCTCTTGTTGGCCTATTTCCACTTCTTGTCAGTACAGGTTGTCTCACTATGCCCATTCTTATGAGTACTGCGAGCCCGCCATCCGCGAGTTTTCAGAACCTGCCTTCAGACCCAATGGAGAACAAGTTTAGCCCAGCGACATATTTGCAAGAACTTCTGCAGTTAGTCATCATGCCTTTGCCTACAGGAACGGGACTCTCGACCGAGGAAAGCTACAGGTTTCATACCGAACAAAAGTGCGCCAAATTTGAGCAATCAAAGGGTCTTCTGAACCTGGTGCGTAATGCCCTGTTGGAATACTCCGCCCTGCGGCATTACGCAAACGGTCTCGAATTCCCACTCGACAACTCTGTGTGCCAGGAAAGCCTCCTTGAGACTTTACGAACTCTTGTGCTAGTTGACTCGTCCGCCGTCTCGAATGCTTTGGGCATCAAGTCCCTGCCAGCCGAAGCCGTTGGTCTTGTGCGCAAGGTGACGACCAAGCTCTTAATCCCTGGCGATTCTGGTGACACTCAGATCTCATTCGACCGTATCTTGCAAATCGCCAATGAGTTGACCCTACCATTCTGTCAACTCAAGCTGAATTTGGACTTGTCTTTGCCGCAGCCCAACGCAAGTGAGGGGCAATTTGAGATCTTTGCTAAGGCTATGGACCGAGCCATTGAGGCGGGCAATATCATGTGGACCAGCCTACTACCTTGCTTGAGCGACGATATCACTCAGCACCTCAAAAGCCAGGCTCAATCTGTATTCCTCGACCTGATTCCATCGTCCAAGACGTCCGAAATTGCCGACACTGGATCGAGACAGTCGCTACGCATGGCCGAGAATCTATTGGAAGTAGTCGAAGCCATTATTTCAGGCCAACCGCCCCCAAAGATGGCACAGTTATCTTCGGGCATGGTCGAGAAGCTGACAGACCTATGGGAAATCATCGCCGCAGGGCCTCAGGAACGCCCAAGCTGCCACACCGCTGTACTGCAGCACTGGCTGCCTGCCATGCTTCGCTTTGTTACCCTCCACAGCTTATCGTCCGAGCCCCCTTCAGCACCGCTTCCGACTGCATCGGCAACACGACCTCCTATCCCACCTGTGCATGATACTCGTGCTCGCATTGTTCTTGTCCTTTGCGGCTTACTGCTCGAGCTTGAAACTCTTCCACCCGCTACTGTGGGCTCGCTACCCCAACAGGTCTTTGACATTGCTATTCTGCTTGTGGATGCGCTTCCCGAAGATCTGAGAGCCAATTGTGCCAAGACCATCTTGCTCACCTCTGGCGGACTGCCGAACCAGGGCACCTCATCCGATCCTCGACTCTACTATCTCTTCAGCTCGCCACCGCCGTCGGTTTCAGATAATCTCATGCTCTCACATCGTGAGAAAGCCGCAACCCCACAAGGAGCCGTCGCTCGTGGTATGGGTGCACAATACGGCATCGGACCAGCCGTTCAGGAACGCCTCAGTCCCTTCATTCTCCGGCGCTGGGAGGTGCTTAGTGAGCCAACTCCTAACGTCGGCGAAAACGATACCAGTCTGAGCCTGGGTCTTTTTGAAGCCATTAAACTTCAGTAATGCTACCCCTTACTGTTGTTGCTACTTACTGATGGCAAAACCTCTTGATATACCATTGCGTCGTATGCATTACACGTAATGTTCCTTATATCACCCTTACTATCGCCTACCATCACCACCAACATACTTCTGCCTTTGTCTGGCATTTCTTTTCCTTACTCTCATGGCTATACCCCTGTTACGGAACTCAGGCGTGTTCGCACTAGCGATAATTTGCACTGCACGACGGATTTCTTCTTCCCAATGTTCATTCTGGTTTATGCGGGGACAATACAACTGAGGGTCTCGTCGCCTTTTGCTCTGTTTGGCAGTTGTTGCATCGTTTTTCCTTTCCTTTCTTTCTTTTTCTTCTTCTCGTTTACTCTGTTGCTTCCATTTGTTCTGGGGTCAATTTTGTGTTTTTGCATGGCGCTGCGTACAAAGAGGACTGGTGAAACGGTTGATGATACGTCGAGCACAGAACACGCACGATACATTTGCATATATCATGTATGAAAGTTGTTAGATCACGGCGTGTCGATGAGGACATGGGAGGGCGTAAGGCTCGCTGCATTTGTCTGTACTCACTGGAGTGCATAGCATAGAAGCAATCGAATTTACTTGATTCACATAAACTTCCTGGACATCTTTTTTCTATATGAGGACAATAGTACGTGAAATAAGGTTGACAAGATCCCCGTAAACATTGTGTTTTATGATCCAAACACTAGACCTCTGTTATATCTTGTGGCCGGCAGGAGTCTACCGGTTTTCAAGCGTCACTATAACTGCTGAGTAGGTGGTGAGTAGATATCAACACTATACTTCCAGGAACAAGTTAATGGTTGAGGGATAGGGTTGAGTTCAAACCAATATAACGAGTGAACGCTGGCTTTCCATGTCTATTGCCAGTACATCCATAAGGATACTTCATCATATCTCTTAAACCTGTCCAGTGTTCCGACTCTCGCAGCTTACCCTGAAGACCTACGGATTCTGGTTACTTTCATGATAAGCCAAGGGATTCATAGAGGCAAGGAAACAGAAATGCAGAAGATGTATACAATTGTAAAAACGCGCTCAGGATGACTGTCCAGTAATAATCTTACACCAAGTTCCAAGCACAAAGAGACGAACATGCATTAGATATGGGACGTCATGCAACAAAACAGTCAACATGGACAGAAATAAGACCATTCTTCCCCCAGCAAGCTTTATCCATTATGTCCTCTTACCCCTTACCAAACTTGCAACGCATATACAATTCTAACTAATCCTCGTCAAAGATCTGCAACGTGTTTTGGAGGATAGTGTCGATGGCCTTGATCTGCCAGCCCGCATCGGCGATGGCGGTGCTGGGGTCAGTGCCCATAAGAGTAGGACCGAAAATGACAGCAAGGTTATGGCAGTTCATACGGTTCATATGACTGTTGTCCATAACTCTCCATAAGTGAAGGGTAAGGGCACGGAGTGTAGCGTAATTGGGATCAGGCAAACTGTTGATGATGGCGTGGAGAGAATCACGGCGGAGTGTATCATCTTCATGCTCTGTGTATACTAGTTAGCATAGTTTTGGTATTTCACAGGAGGGACAAGAAACTAACTGGCAGCAGCAATAAAGCTGTCATGATACTCGAGGGTGAGCAGAGGATCAGGAAGGTCACGGAAGAACTGTTTCAGCAGACCAGTAACACTGTTGACATCATGATAGAAGTTCTCGGGGTTCCTAAAGTCGAGAGCAGGGCTGGAAGACTCTGCTGTAAAGTTAGTTCTGACCATTGAAAGTGATTGAGCATAACGTACCGGTGTCAAACATGTTTTTAAGTTTCTGGATATGAGCCATAGATCCAGATTGCCGGTAAATGCCCTCCACATTGAGGCCGTACATATCTACCGCCTGGATACACTGATGGACTACCATTGGTACAGCTAAACTGTCGCGCTCGTACAGACGGCTGAGTGGAAGACCAAAAACTGGCTTTGAGGGTCCCGAGGGCCCGGGAGCAGGCGGGGGATGACTGGACGTCCCATAAGGAGGTGGTGATCGTCCAGCTCCCTGAGGCCCTTGACCAAAGTTCGCACCGCTACCTGAGCGTTCATGAGGAGGCTGGTGAGGGTCTGTCTGCTGTGGAGGAGAACCGCCCGGCTGGAAGGGTAGAGCACCAAGCTGTGGTGGACCAGTTGAGCTGACAGAGCCGCCATTACCATATCTCTGACCGGGCGCTTGCTGGCTGGGGCCACGGGCGGGAAACGGTTGCCCGGGTCCTGGGCCACCCTGTTGTAGTGGCATGTTTCCCTGGCTGAAGCTCCTGTTGTGAGGCTGCGAGAAGGGGCGAGGATCGTCAGAAGGCGGGAGCGAAGAATCACCAGTAATGCCAGTTATGGGACCAAGTCCCAGGGTACTAGTTCTCGATCCTGGACCAAGGGGCTGGGACCCAGAGAAGCTTCCCGGAGGTGGTGCCTGTGTTGTAGGCGATTGCACCATAGCAGGCTGTTGTACAGGACCCCCTGGTGCATGCTGACTGCTGGAACCTGGAGGGTTGAGAGCCTAGAACTTGTGTAAGTGACAGAGCCCGCCACTCGCTGATGTATTTCACTTACTGGGTTACGCTTATACTCAATTTCACCGGTGTTGGGAGGCACGCTTCTGTGTTGCGCTGTGACATAATCGTTCAAGTCCTTCTCGTTATCGATCGAGGAAGCAGCTTGTCGCAGACTGCGCTGAGCACTGCTGCTTTGGCCTCCCGGACCCTGGATGGGGCTGACACTCAGGCCGTTGCTTAACAGCAGGCGCTCGTTGAAAGAAGCTAAATATGTAAGTGAACAATTGCGAAATGAACGACAACGACAAACTCACCAAACTTCTGCATTTGCAAAGAAATGCCAGCATCGATTTCCTTGATGGAGTCTTGCAGGGCTCGAATAGCCTCAGGACGTGTCGTCGAAAGGAGTTGGGCCTTCTCGGCCTGCAACGCCTGGACATGTCCGTGGTAGGTGGAGTCGGCCGCCTGAACTTTCTTCAGCAGTTCGCCTTCATGCTGCTGAGCTGACTTGTGGCCTTTGAGACCGAACATCTTGCCGCTCTGGCGCGACTCGCCAGTCTTGACTCGCTCGTAATCGTCGGCCAGAGAGTCGTACTTGGCCTTGCTCTTACGCATAGTCTGTTCCATCTCAGCAACCTTATTTTCGGCGGACAGGCCATTTTGCTTCCACGACTTGCGGCTGCGTTCTGCGACGCCCGCGAGCTCCATAAGCTCGTCGTGCATCTGGTGCAACTCTTTCGCAAACTCAATTCCATTCTCGGCCATGCGTTCGTGGGTGCTCGCCATAGCTTCGTATGCGCTACCAAAAGTGCCTTGGCGGTGGTCGGGTCGGCGCATGACCTCTTGGGTCGTACGCGTGAGTTTCCTGATGCCATTGGCGTGATCTTCTTCTAGACTGGATCGCTTCTTGAGGAACAACGCGAATTCCTGGGCGATGACAAATTAGCAAACCAAGTCGCTGTGGGAGTCTAAGCAACCACTTACCTTGGCTGAAGCTATGCTCTGCTTAAGGCGGTTTAGGAGAGTAACAATGCCAATCTGCAACAGGCGTTAGCACGATCCAAAGCTTCTGTATATCACTCTCTCGAAGACTGATTGTACCTCGGAAGACAGGACGTCTGAAACTTGTTTGAGCTGTTCGGAGTTCGCACCAGATGGGCCAGCGGGTTGCGTAGGTGAAGTGCTGTCGCCATCCGGGTTCTGAGATTTGTTCATGACATCGTCAACGGCAGCACCGCCGCTTTCGGATGGAGGGCCCTGAGGACTGACGGGAATATTGCCCAGGGACATCATGCTGCCTGACCTGCCGCGCTCTTGTTGGGGAGAGAAGGCATCGTTCGCCGACGAATGGTGTTCGCTCATGATTTCGAGCGCAATTGAGAATTCGCCCTGCTTGTGTACTGAAATTTATCGAAAATCGTCCAGGATTCTAAGTTTGAGGCCTCGCCGAGGTGGTTGTTCACATTCCTCGAGCTCTTTGGGTTATGGAGCAGCGATTGGGCAGGAAGTGTCGCTGCCACAGAGTGGTAAGCCGGCCTCTGTGATTGATTGGGTGCGACACCAACGATCCGTATTAATGCGATGAGAGTGGGAGCACAAATTGAGTTGAGGCGACGACAGTGACAAAAATGTTGGAAAGCTGGTGGTGGAAGAAACTGTGGTGTTCTGACGGGGAGAGCTTCGCAATCCGCAGCGGGGGCCCTCGATGATTCGGTGCCAGGGACTGACTGGGCCGATTTGTCGTTAAGACAGTGCCTTTCGGAACCTGACGACGGACGGCGGGGGACAGTAGATACAGAGAACAGACGAATGTGCGTGCGCAACAGCGACACAAAACAATCAAGTTCAAACCAAAAATTCGAACGAACAATTTATAGAACGAGTAGGAAGAAGACAAGATGCGAACGCAGGTGCAAGCGGAAGCGGAAATGGAGATGGAGATGGAGATGAGTATGGAGATCGGTTGGTCGTTCGGTGGAGAGAAGGGAATGTAGGAAACACTCCACTGGAGTTTTAGTGCAGTACGACACTGGATTGGATGGATAGAATTGAGCTGGTTGTGGCTGAGCCCAGTCTTGACGGATTGGCGGGGGGTAACAGAAGAGATGTCCTC